AACATCCTTACGGACTGTCTCATCATGATCTTACATCCCATTACGTCAATTTAGTCACTGAACCACAATCAAGTACATCACTTACCATCAAATCCTTAGATTCAATTCCTTAACAATTACAAACAATCATTAACTAGTATTTCAATACTATTAAGATTATTCCCATCAATCATATATTTCATTTGTAAATCCCTACATATTTAAAGATATGTAGCAGCAACTTAATCATCCAATGTAGTACATAAATAATCATTTATGTACCTACACAATTCACACATGAGTAAAAATGACTATTTCACACAATAGTTCATTTAACTCCATTTTTATCAATATGATTTCCAAATCATTTGCAATTTCATTCCTTATCTAATATATCAATATTTCATCAATAATCAGTCATTATAATCCATGAAAAGCATGATTTAGGCATTTAGGTAATCTCATGCTTAACCTACAAGTTCTAAGCAACTAGATGTCGATCCTCACCTCAAATGAGCTTTAAACCTTTCCTTTTTAATCCAATGCTCAAAGCTTCGGCCAAGGAAGTTTGAGAACTGATTCCTTGCTTAGAATTGATGTTTAGACAGCCTCCTCCATGTGCTAGTTCAACACTTATCCAGTGATACAAAAACAGCCTCTACAATGGGTGTTTTCCGGCGAAAACATTTCCTAACCTTTCAAGGTTTGTTCTAGGTTAGTATATAACCTTTCCAACAAATAAAATCACTTTATAACAACATTTTTTACACCTCAACCAGTGTACAATAGTTACTCAATCATTTATACGATTTAGACAATAGAAAGGCAGGTTTTGGATTCAAACTTACTTTGAATACAAAATCGTATTCTGCGAGGTTGCGTTTTGTTCGGACGATTTGGAGGCCTTAAGCTTCTCCGTTTACTTCAAACCGCAAGTCTATGGATTCCTCTTTTCGTGATCTTTCAGTGGTAACTTCCCACGCCTTAATTGGATGAGTGAAACTCAAGATATGAGTCGAACAAGAAGACCTACGCACCTGGAAAATACCCTGCGGCCAGCTCTCCTATTTCTTCTTTTCTTGGTTTGTGCGGCTCCTCTCCCTTCCTTATCTTTTGAGTTAGAATGAGGGGTGAGGGGGAGATATTTGGAAGCTCTCAAAACGTTATCTAAACGTGTGGCTCACAAAAATAAAAGGTAGGGTGCTTGATTCCAATCAAACATGGGATGATCCTTCTCTTTTATTTCTCTTTTGTATTGTTTGAGCTCTCAACTCAATAGGTCCACTCCATTTATTAGTTCTAACTTATTCAACTTGTTTTGAAGGTGCTAGGAAGGTGTGGGGCGACCTCTTATGTCCCCTAATTAATTTGGGAGCAAAATATCTACCAATACTTCCAAAAGTGGAAAGATGTGTCCTATTGTTTTTGTCTTTTGTCATAAGATGTACTTTTGTACTCTCCCCAATTTATTTAGAACAAGTCAACCTTCTACATCATATTATTGATCTCTAATATGTGTAGGGTGGTCCCAATAATTTATATGATGTATAATTAAAATAAAAAAAACCTACTCTCATTATTTAGCTTAATAATGCCAAAGATGGGACCATAGACATTTGTATTCTTCTCCAATCATTTCATTACACATTTATGATATTACTATTCATGTAGCTGAGCTACTAACCGTGTGGGTCACCCTCCAGTGAATCTAGGATACCATTTTTGGATAATTGCTATTTTTAGCAGGTTAGGCCCAAAATATCATTTGTGCTGCCAGACCGCTCTTACACTGTACCAAAGAGTTGTATATCTTTATTTAAGAATGTTGGCCCCCAATACCAATAAGATGGCTCAATTAATTATTTAGAAGTCCATTACCATTATATGACCCCAAATAGTAATATGATTAATCATACGTTCCGTAAAACTTCAATCGTTTTACAATTGTTCGAAAATAGGGAAATTCAATACATAAACTTCGAAATTAAATTTGAATTTCAAGGACGTTCGGGTGCGGTGTCACAGTAACTGCCCCATTACCCAACGGGTAATGTTTACCCAAACCATAACCACCCCAACAGGTAATGGGTATAACCGCGGGTAACCGCGGGTAATCACTTTATTAAATGTGTCATTGATATTTTAATATATAAAAAATATTTTAAAAGGCGAAAAATGACATCACCTAGACGATTCGAGACTCAGACGCCACATTAAAATTTCATATATCTACAAGAAGAGAAAGAAGGCAACCTAAATTAATTTGAACCTAAAAATACTTAATGTGAAAAACAATTAATCACAAAAGATATTTGATAATAATCAAACAAGACTATTAAAATCTATTATGAACTTTCATTCATACACTATAGGTAGTTCATCTATAATCCATATATACATAATGAGAATAAAAAAATCTCATCTTTTAATAGTTGTGGGACAAAAAAAAATAGTTGTGAGACAAATAATAGATAAGAATGTTATAAAAATATAACTAATAATAAACGGGGCGGGTACGGGGTGGGTAATGGGGAGGACATGTATAAAACCGTAACCGCCCCGTTACACGTAAAAATAAAACGGGTATTCCCCGCCCCCTACCCGTTACCCGGTCAATGCGGTTTTCCCCGTTTTGATCGAGACGATTCGGTGCAGGTATCCATCGGATCGGTCACAATTGCCATCTCTACCCACACCCCGCGGTTCAGAACCAGTTGCATGAGTACCTGCACGGTCGGACCGTGTGGGCAGCCGCACGCCCGCACGCCGTGCGTGCGGAAGAAGAAATAGACGCGTCGGAATTTTATGGGAGGCCGCACGGTCAGCCGCACACCGTGCGGACGACCGTCTGAATCGATTTTCGCACATTTTTTTCCGCTTTCTATTTATTGAGCCCTGTTTTGTCTGTTTTTGATAACAGAACTTAGAGAGATAAACTCTATTACGCAATTGGGAGAGTTTTTCAGCCTTGTTCATCAAGATTTTAGGATTCTTTTTAAGTTCCAACTTTTTAATTAATGACAATTAATTCTTTTCATTTCAATTATGTTGATTGCTAAATTATGAATTGTGAGTAGTTTTAATTAGGGATTTGAGATTGATGAAGGAGTTAAACATTTTCTAAGGTTAAATTCTTGATGGATTAGTTGAATGGTGTCTATTAAATTTGTGTTTGAATATTATATTTAATTGATATTTCTTGTAACCTAGAACTACAGTTAGGATTATAATTACACATAGAATAAATTAAGAGAAATCTAATTTATTCTAGAACAGTTTTACACACACTTAACCGTTCCCTAAGAGATTAGTAACAATTAGGGTGCCGTACGCTCGCTCGTTTTGTCAATAATTTAGAATCTAGTCGCATGAGAGATCAACCTGGTTCCCTCAATTATTGTACTCTACGTCGCGAGAGTGGTAAGAACTTAGTATTGACCAGCATTGTTCAATTAAATATTTTTGAAAAATGTTAGAAGTACAAACACACTTACAAAAAACTTACATTCAAGTGATGTGGCTATTCTAATTACCAGTAAAAGTGTTGTAAATGTGATGTGACGTGTTAAATAATGTGATGATGTCGCATACCCCTTTTGTAAGACTTTTTGTAAAAGTTTTTGTAACTCTAGCCTAACTCAATATTTTTCATGTGATTAGGCCTGAAATCTGATTACCCCGGAGTGAATCCATGTTCCATTCGATCATTAATCAGAAAGAATCCATTATTTTATCTGCTTTATTGTATTAGTTTAATTTTCAAAAAATCCAAATCTCGCAAAATTGCATTTATTTTTATTTATTTTAATCCCTAAATTTAGTTAATTCCTTGTTTTCTTTTTCCATCTTCGTGAAGACGATACTCGTACTTTAGCCTTATACTGCTACATATTTTAAGTGTGAGAAAACTCACATCAGTCAACTTAAATTACTCTTAATCTTTTATCTTATATATCAAAATTTTATGAAATTGAATTATTTTTTTCATGTTTTGTAGCGATTTTAATATAATTTCTGAATATATAAATTTTATTTATTAAAAATAATTTGAGTTTTGTTAACTTGTTACTATCTCTATTCCGAAAAGATTTGACATATTGACTTTTCTTGGTCAAAGATGACAAACTTTATACGATGATTTTAGTTATTATATTTGTATATAGTTTATAATTTTTATACATTTATGAAAATATTTTGAATGAGGAACATTTCGATATAATTTTCATATTCTAAATAATTTCGTATTAAGAAATATCATTAGTCAAAGTTGATTGTCATTGATAAAGAAAACTCAATTTGTAAAACCTTTTCTGGACTGAAGGGGTACTTTATTTTAGGTAGATTCCGGCCCCGAATGCCGGAAAAATAGAGCGTGTAGCAACCCACTCAATTTGAGGGGAAAGTTCCCGAAATAGGACTAAAACAGTTTGAAAATTCTAAAATAGGACTGTCATGTTTTTTATTTCCAAAATAGGACTAATTACTGCCATGTTTAGAAAATATTGCCATGTTTGAAGACTGTTACTGCCAAAACTTGGCAGTAATTAGTTCTATTTTGGGAATAAAAACATGATAGTCCTATTTTGAAATTTTCAAACTGTTTTAGTCCTTTATGTTAATATTCTCTCTTTTTTATTAAAAAAAGGATGACACCTCATCCCTAAGGCCCCCCAACCCCGACCGGATGGTACATTGGGAGGATATAAATTGGATTATAATCCCAATCTGACAGATAGAGAATGAGGCTCTGTCCCCGATACCTGCAGAGGCTCTATGCATTTTTAGGGGGTGTTTGGAACTGATTCTAATTCTGCTTCTTTTTTAAAGCAGAAGCAGAATCAGAATCAGTTTACAGAAGCTGGTACCCTCAGCTTCTAAAAAAACTGATTCTGAGAGTAAATTAGAGCACCAGAAGTGCTTCTGGAATTTCACCCAAACACTCCAGCTTCTGCTTCTGCTCTCTGAAGGAGCAGAATCAGTTCTGAGAGTAATTAGAGCACCACAAGTGCTTCTGGAATTTCACCCAATCGGTTAGTACAGTAACACCCGCAGTTTCTCTCTCTTTTATCGACTCTCGCACAGTTGCTTCTGCATCGGTATCCACTCAACCGCAGTAACATGCCCGTGCCTCTACTACGCGTTCTAGCTGTCATTCTCTGCTGGGTAGCCCCGCTGGTTCGTTCGCATTACCACTGGCCGTCCAGCACTGCCCCTCTGCAATCCGAGTGGCGGTCGGCGCGTGCCACCTTCTACGCCCCGGCGGATCCACGGGACGTGGTCGGCGGTGCTTGCGGGTTTGGTGATTTGGAGAAGGGAGGCTACGGCAAGGCCACGGCTGGGCTGAGCGCCACTCTGTTTGATAGGGGTCAGATCTGCGGTGCGTGCTTTGAGGTCAGGTGCGTCGATGACACGCGCTGGTGTATTCCTGGAACCTCCATCCTTGTGACAGCGACAAACTTCTGTGCTCCCAACTACGGGTTGGAGTCCAATGGCGGCGGCCATTGCAATCCGCCAAATGCTCACTTCGTGCTACCAATCGAGGCCTTTGAAAAGATTGCTATTTGGAAAGCTTCTAACATGCTCATTCAGTATCGGAGGTTTGTGCTCTGATAAACTCTCGAACATGTTTTTCCCATTTTATTAAGGCTGGGATGTTGTTTGGCGTAATAAAATTACCTTCGGAATTAGGATTAAATATATGAGAAGAATTTCAAGTACTACCTCTTTCCTTTCAATGATGTCCCGGAAAGAAGTTCTTAGGGAAAACACTTTATACTACTTAACCACTTTTTGTTTCATTTGACCTAAAGTAAGATATACTTGGAAAGTCAAAACAAAACTCCATCTCACATAAATATGTATATAGGTCAAAATAAGAACTTCTTTGCTGGAAGGAGGGAGTATAATATTAACAACTTTGAAAATAGACATTTTATTTTAAGCTCCAATTCAAACTCGAGTTCAAGCATTTTCTTCGAGCTCAACCTATAAAAATTAATGAAAAGAACTTGAGCTGAGTCCGACTCGAGCTTAACCCGAACTCGAGTCGAGCTCAAGTTGATCCGAGCTCGAGTCGAGAACAAGCTGAACCGAGATCGAGTCGAGCTCAAGCTGAACCCGAGTCAAAATTATTAGATTCGTTCAAGCTCGAACATTCTTATCGAGCTCGGACATGCTTTAGTTCGAGCTTTGCCTGACTTGTTTGCACCCCTATTGTGACATTTGATTTAAAAAATGTTGAACCGAAGGAGTAGATGTCACTTAATAGAGAAGTCACGTGACCAAACATTTAAAAAAACCGACACTTTTGGTAGTCTAAGGTCTCGTTTGGTAGACTTTATTTTCTGCTTATCAGTTATATGTGCCAATTTAAACGTTTCCAAACGGGCTCTAAATGTATAAAAGAAGTGACAATCGAAGACCAAAGTGAAATTGATTAAAAAAACTTGAATTTCCTAAGCATTCACTCCCATGGGCAAGAAGTGCAGTGTCTTATTGCATCTTTCCAGAAACATACGTATTATTTTTACATATATTTAAAATAATTATGTTTTGTAACAATAACTGAAAATCACTGTCTGGTACTCTGGTACCTCACGTGTTCTTGATTGTGCAATGTAGTGCGGATTGTTTAATCTTCTACACATTTTTTAATGAAGTCCCTCACACCATAATTGTGGAGTCATTCAATTTTGGCATCTTTTGCAATTTCAATTTTCGGTTTTTCCTCACTTCTCATCAATGGAGTCATTAGAGTGGAATGGCTGAATTGATAACTTACAAAAAGTTGAAGGACTTCTTTCACCAAATCAACAATGGGTGGCAAGGGTGACCAGTATAGTGATTTTCTAAACTTATAATCTCTTACACAGATACCCTCAAGTGAGGCAAAATGCAGAATTTAGCTACGAGCAATAAATGAAATTCGTTTATTATTTCCAACAAAGCCGCCTATAATATGGTTCTTAGATAGATAGCTTCTAAGTAGCACGGAAACGGGAAACGGGAAATGGGAAACGTCGGAAACGTCATTTTCCAAAAATACAAGACACAAAACACGGGGGAAACGCGCAAATATTAAAAATATAGGGGTTAATTTATAAATATTAAATTTATATTCGTGATTTTTTTTATATGTGTATATATATATATGTATATATATATATATATATGTATATATATATATGTATGTATATATATATATATATATGTACAAACATGCCACATGAGATTATTGTTGGGTGTGTTTCGGAAAATAAAGGAAATTAATTCAAATAAATTAATTAAATAAAATGACTAGAGAAAAACAAGAAAGGAGATGAAACAGATTTAGTCAAAACTCGTGCTACGCACGATGTCCCTAAAACATATTTGTTGCCTCCCACGGTGCTAGGAGCGTTGCAACAATCGTTTCCCAGGATACGATGACTACGAACTAATGTTTCAGCACACAAACAAGAGTTGCAGCGAACGAGAACCAAGTATGAACACAGAAGGAATTTGCAGAGTAGCTGGAAGTGTTTTTAGCTCAAGAAAACGTGAGGAATGTATTGTGTGTTGTGTCTTGTTGCAAACCACCTGTCAGCTATTTAAAGGAGGATTTGTTGTGTGTTAAATGGAGTGTTAATGGACCTGAACGTTGGACATCAATGACCAGTCTGTTGGGCATTGAATTGTCCATAAACTGTCCATTTAATGCAGCATTAAAAGAGAAGAACGTTGGGCATTTATTGCTGTAACGGACTAGAAGACCTTCTGTTGCGAACAGAAGGCCTCGAGCGTCTCTGTTGCGAACAGAAGGCCTCGAGGGTCTCTGTTGCGAATAGAAGACCTCGAGCGTCTCTGTTGCGAACAGAAGACCTCGAGCGTCTCTGTTGCGAACAGAAAACCGCAAGGGTTTCTGTTGCGGACAAAACTCGAGCATCTCTGTTCCGGACAGAACTCGACCCCTTCTGTCACTGGGAAAAATAAACGCTACGAGAAAAAACAAAAATTAGACCGTATTTTTGAATGATAGATTTTCGGACGACATTCGTGTCCGCAGGTCGCTCGCGCACACGAGTCACGGTTTTTCTTCTCCGTTTCGGGATTTGATCGGCACCCCCCCTGCGCGTAAGAGAGAGCCTTTACCTTTAGGAATCTTAACTCCTTCAAAGAGGTTTCCCTTTATAAGGGGGTGAAAATCCCTTGAGTTTTCCGGTGTGGGATAAAACACACTAGAAACCCATAATTTTCCCAGTTTTTCCATTTGAACGAGTGAACTTCTAGAATCAATTTCCCATTCACCCGTTATCCGTTTTGAGCGTACCATATATCGAATTGTAGCCCTTAACAAGGACAATCCGAAACCACTTTAACCCGACCCAAATCGGAAGTGAACCCCACTCAAATAATTGCCCCAAAATGACCATTTAATGCAATTTTTAACACATTTTTCCAACAATCCCCCACATGAATGAAAATTGATTTTCGAGACTTAAAAAGACACGAAGATAGGAGGACACGTTGTGTTCACCGGATGATCCTTGCATACGGAGAGGTAGGTTTTATCCTTTGAACCTTTCGCTGTAAAGACACGTTTATTTACTGGCTGTCTAGTAGACTCGATGTCCTTGAACTATACTGCCGTCGTGTAAACATTGACTTATCTTTACACAAGAACCTTCCAACTTTGTGCCGTTTTCATGGGTGTGCCTGTTTTGGCCATGGGTCACCGTCCTGGTTCTGCAAGAGTTTCTTAAGAACTGAGCCTTTACAGTTCTCCTTTGAAGCGGTCCTCTTCTCTCTCACATAGGTGATTCTTTCACGAGTATCTCGCATACTCTTCCAATGTTATCGAGTAGATCAACATTTTAGAATCATTAAAGCAAACGTTTTTGCTAACCTCGTGCGGGAGTCACTGTTTTAACGAGGAGTGAGTAGGAGTCCGGGACCCCCACAGTGACCATCCTTCGCTCTATAATTTAGTTGTCCCTTTTGAACCTAGGACCAACTAGGTTGGGTATTCATCATAGAACTTTTCAATGCACGGGCTCTAGTCCCATTCCTCGTGACAACTTCTCCAACAATTCTCTATCCAATGCCTTGGTTAGCGGATCCGCTATGTTATCCTTTGACTTCACGTAGTCAACAGTGATAACACCCGTTGTGAGGAGTTGTTTAATGGTGTTATGTCTATGACGAACGTGTCTAGACTTACCATTGAACATATTGCTCTGTACCCTTCCAATTGCCGCTTGACAATCTCAATGTATGCATATTGGAGGGACAGACTTTTCCCAACTTGGAATATCCTCGAGAAAATGGCGTAGCCATTCAGCCTCTTCAGTGCACTTATCCAAGGCTATTAGCTCAGACTCCATCGTGGATCTAGCTATTAACGTTTGTTTTGAGGATTTCCATGACACGGCTGCATCTTCCATAGTGTTCATCACCGGGGTTGCTAGTATATCTACTTAGCTTACTAACCACAAAGGCAATATCAGGTCTGGTACAACTCATTAGATACATCAAGCTTCCAATAATCCTAGCGTATTCTACTTGAGAAATACACTCTCCACGATTTTTGGTAAGTTGTACGTTTTTATCTAATGGAGTCCTTGCCTCTTGATAATCATCCTTATTAAATTTCGTAAGGATTTTATCAACGTGATGAGATTGGCTTAGCGTAAGACCGTCAGGTCCTCTAATTATTTTAATCCCAAGGATTAAATCGGCCAACCCCATATCCTTCATGTCAAATTTAGAATTTAACATGCTTTTGGTAGAATTAATCATTAGATTATTGCTACCTACAATGAGCATATCATCCACGTATAAACATAAAATGACATAGCCGTCTACCGTGCTCTTCACATAGACGCATTTGTCACTTTCGTTTATTTTAAAACCATTAATTAACATTGCATGATCGAACTTTTCGTGCCACTGTTTAGGGGCTTGTTTCAATCAATACAATGATTTAATTAATTTACACACTTTCCTTTCTTGGCCCGGAACACGAAAGCCCTCGGGCTGTTCCATATAGATTTCTTCGTCTATATCGCCATTTAGAAAAGCGGGTTTTACGTCCATTTGATGAACTTCCAATTTCCGCAATGCGGCAATTGCTAGTATCATCCTAATGGAATTTATTCTCGTCACAGGAGAATACGTGTCAAAGTAATCATGGCCCTCACGTTGCTTGTATCCTTTGATTACAAGTCCGGCCTTGTACTTATCGATGGAACCATCAGGTTTCATTTTCCGTTTAAAAATCCACTTGAATCCCAAAAGATTATTTCCCGGAGGAAGATCAACCAATTCCCATGTGTGATTTTTAAGGATAGAATCCACCTCACTTTTGATTGCTTCTTTCCACATAGGACCTTCAGTAGACGTCACGGCTTCCGTATAAGTCCGTGACTCATTTTCTACCAAACATGTTAGAAAATCCGGTTCATTTTCTACCATACATGTTAGAATATCCGAGTCAAATTCTACCAGGTAGGTGAGAAAATCCGGTCCGAAGGATTTTTCAACTCTAGCACGTTTGCTACGTCTGGGTTCGGGTTCTTCTTCGGATCCCTCGCTAGTATTTTCCATAGCTACGTCAAAT